AGTTCTCCAAAACGCACATTCGCATTTCACTATATGACTTAAATATATAGAGATGGGTCAAAGAATATGTGAAATATACGAGAGTCATTCTATTATCCATCAGATCTAGACATCATTCTTCAGCAGTCAATATTTTTGGGGAGATATATTCAAAGAGTTGTGTCAATGCTATGAGATGTCTCCTTTGAACTCAAATACACTAGACCACTCATTTGATTGTGCTGATCTAGAAAGTGAAAAGCTATGCCACGGTGACTAGAGGATTGATGATTATTTGCTGATTTAGGATATCTATAGATATAATGAGGCTATGGTTCATTTGATCATGTGCAAATGTACTAAAGTCGGGACTTAACTGTGATCCGCTAAAATATTCTACTCCAAGAAACATCACAAACTGAAACGCCACCGGATCCGCAACATGTGTACAAGCGGACAGAAGGCGTTCATAGGCCTTTCAAAGAAATCTCAGCATGAGGTGTGAACAACAGCTGACTGAAAAACATGCTGTGGAACTCCTACTTGGAAATATTGATGACCATATGGCTCCCTACTTAGCAATGGCCACGATAAATACCTTTCAAGAATTATTAGACCGTGTAGCTAAGTTTGAGAGGCTACCCAAGCCTAGAGGCATCACCTACAACTATAACAGTAATCCCGCTAGTAAAGTCAAACAACCCAGAGTATATGACTCAAAGCGGGATGAAGTAAATACAACATTTACTTCTCCTCCTGATAAAAAGGAAAAAGGGGAAACGGCAACACCTAAAATGACAAAACAGGTAAAGGAAAAGACAGCGGTCCCTACCTTACAGGAAAAAATGAACAAGCCGTACTCAATTCAAGAGAGAATGTACTGGCAAAATTTTCCGACATGCACTCAAGATGGGCCTACAGCTACCAGAGTCTCGCCGACCAGAACAGGCCGACATGATTAATGAGCCGAACTACTGTCCTTACAATCGGATCGTTGGTCATCCGATTGAAGACTGTTTTGTATTTAAAATTTAAAGATTGGGTAGAAAGGAGCTATCGAAGTGGCGAGCTTACGCTATCAGATAGTATATTGACTAATCCGAGACGGGAAAAAGTCAATGTTGTTTCTTCCAGCTCATGCCAAGAAAATGTAGAAAAAGAGTCACAACAAGATGAAGGTGGTTGGGAAACTTACATATCCAAAAAGACCAAGTACATGATGAAGGTCTTACTGGCTATTGAGGGCATTCGTCGAAAGAATGCCTTGGAGTTGGAAGTGGATCCAAGACTTCTCCGCTTTAAAGAGTCAACTGAGGAGGATCCTTCACCAAGGCCTTGAAATATTACAAGGACCAAGGAGGAAAGGCTCCTATGTCCAGATCTCAAAGAAGAAAGAAGAAGATATCATTGAGACAGAAGACCGAAATCCAACGGTACATCGATTCTATCGATGAATACCAACAACCTCCTAGACGACCTATCAGATTGGAGGATTCTATGGCTAACTTGCACCTTGATTCAGAATCTGAAGAAGAGACAAGTATCCCAATAGAAACTTGTCGAGTTATAAGCCATAGAGGTGGAAGAAATGGGAGAGGACGAGGTGAGCCTCTTAATCCTCAAAGGACTAATTTCAAAGTATGTCCTAAAGAAACGTGTCGTACAACATCACCGTTTACGGACTCAGATGAAGAACTATGTTTTCCAGACGATAAAAAGAAGAGTAAAATGACTCTTAAGAACAAATGTCCAAAACTTGGAAGCAGCTCAGATTCTGAAGAAGCCGAAGATGTGGATAATACAGAAGATTCGTCTGAAGAAGTGACTCAAATTCAGTTGAGAAGTGGGAAGCAAGTTCTTCCTCTACCTCAAAAGAAGGCAAAAGAGCAGGAGAAAAATATCCAGCTTAATCAAGCGGCTATGCCACAAGATCCACCAAAGCCTAAAACTACAAATGCAAATGTGGATTAGAACATCCTATCTCATCTTCGTAAGCTACCTGCGCTGCTGAGTATATATGATGCCCTTATCATGTCCAAGGACCTCAGGGAAACGCTCATTAAGGCTTTGCAAAACCCTGAACAATATGAAGCATTCTTTGCCGAGCAAAGCATGAAAGAAGCTTTATATACACAAAATACTGCTACAGTCACTTTCTGTGATAATGATCTACTCCTTGGAACTGTAGATCATAATAGACCACTCTATGTTACTGCGGAAAGTAACAATATGGAAATTCATAGAATTTTGATCGATCCAGGTTCTTCTTCTTCAGTTAATCTAATGAGCCTCAAGACACTCAAAGGATTGGCCCTGGATATTCAATATCTGACTAAAAGCACAGTCTTCTTGCAAGGGTTCAATGAGCAAGGGCAAAGAACCTTGCCTTGGGATCCGTGGTTTTACCTCTAAGCTTTGGAGAGCTACACACAGAGGCAAGATTCCACGTAATTAATTCCAATACATCATACAAAGCACTTCTCGGAAGACCATGGCTCCAAGAGTATGGTATAGTACCTTCAACACTTCATCAATGTATGAAGTACAATCGAGACAATGAGGAGCATCGCATCGATGGTGATGAGCAACCATTCTTGGTGCATGAAGTCAAGATCTATGATGATGCCAAGTACTTTATAGCGAAAAATTTGAAAGATGGCGATCTTCCGAGAATCCAGGCTGCTACGCCGGATAAAGGAAAAATGATAGATAAAGGGAAGAATAAATGAAAACAAATTTGCTCAGTACCTCATCTCGGTAGTGATACCGAAGAGGATGATGATATCTCTGCAATTTTCAAACCCGGGAAAAGAAAGAGTGAATTATCAACCGTCCCTTTTGATTATAAAGCTAATCATGCAAATAAGGTGCGGTGTTCGAGCAAATTAAGCATTGAGGAAGAGGAAGAATTCTATTATCAGTCTAAGGATACTACAGAATCTCAGGAGGAAGGAGACCCAGGATCCAGTTTTCTTTCTAAGAAATTCCAAAAAGTATCAATTTCGATGATAAGGGTATCTGAAGAGCAGATATCTACAAACATCATCAAAATAGTACCTATGCCGGTGGCACATTCCAAAATGTTGACTACCTCGTCAAACACGAACATAAGAATGTGAAAAACTTTCTATGTTCCCCCTAAAAGAGGTCTTAATGAGCGCGGATCCCTTTTCTATGAATCAAGTGTGATACCGCATCATACTACTCATGATATGGAATGCGAGGATGAATGGGAATATAGAGATATGTGGATAATCATTCCCCAATATCCTGCACCTATTATGAGAAAGCTCATGAAGAAAAATATCTTCTTCGTACAGACAAACAAACGAGCCCGTTATTTCAGAGAACTTTGGCATAACGAACATGCACAAAGACCTGTTGGTAATGGTTTGTCTACAACTTGGGGTCTAGGATATGCTCGACAGTCATGTCTCACACGAGCAGCATCCTATCATTATCTTGAGTATCCCAGACATTCATGTCTTACCTATGCAACCTCCTATAGCATAACAGATAAGGAGGAGGGACCACCAGAATATGAAAATCAAACGGAAGATGATCTAATTGTAGATCTGAAAGAGGCTCCGAAAGAGCTCGAAGAAGGTGGTCAGGCTACTGTGGATGAGCTCAAAGAGAGAAATTTGGGTACCGAAGAAGATCCAAAGCCAACTTTTATTAGCGCGAATCTTCCGCACGATAAAGCAGAAGAGCTAAAAATGCTGTTACTTTAATACAAAGATTGTTTCGCATGGAATTACACTGAAATGCCCGGTTTATCACCAGAGGTGGCAGTGCATAAGCTCTCCATCAATACCAAAATGCAGCCTGTTAAGCAGGCACCCAGGAGAATGCGACTTGAGGTTGAAGAACAAGTTGTGGCTGAAACTAAAAAGCTCATTGATGCGGGTTTTATCCGAGAAGAAAAATATGCTGACTGGATTGCTAATATCGTCCCAGTAAAGAAGAAAAATGGTCAAATTCGCATATGCATTGACTATCGGGACCTAAATAAGGCATGCCCAAAGGATGATTTTCCACTTCCTAATGCAGAACTTATGGTCGATAATACGTCAAATCATGATATGTTCTCATTTATGGATGGATCGTCGGGTTATAATCAGATGAAAATGGACCCAGACGATGAAAAGCACACCGCCTTTCGAACTCCTATAGGCATATACTGTTACAAGGTTATGCCATTTGGATTGAAAAATGCCGGGGCCACCTATCAAAGGGCGATGACCCACATTTTTGATGATCTTATTCACAAACATGTAGAATGTTATGTGGATGATTTAGTTGTAAAAAGTAGAATCCAACATGAGCATGTAAATGATCTCAAAATTGTATTCGAAAGGATTCGCAAGTTTCATTTGAAAATGAATCCACTGAAATGTGCTTTTGGTGTGTCATCTGGAAAGTTTCTCGGATTTCTTGTACGGATCGAAATTGATCCCAATAAAATTCAAGCAATAGTGGAAATGCCACCTCCTAAAACCCTAAGACAACTTCGTTCATTACAGGGAAGATTGGCATATATCCGAAGGTTTATATCTAACCTTTCAGGTAGATGCCAACCCTTCGCACGATTGATGAAGAAAAAGACTCCTTTCGTGTGGGACGATGCTTGTCAGGAGGCATTTCATAGTATAAAGCAATATTTGTTGAATCCTCCAATTCTTGCTGCCCCTATTCTGGGTAAACCCCTAATTTTATATACAGCAGCTTTGGAGGAATCACTCGGAGCATTGCTTGCACAAGATAATGCCGATGGCAAAGAAAATGCCCTTTATTATATTAGTCGTCGGTTAATAGGGGCTGAATTGAAATATTTGCCAATTGAAAAACAGTGTTTAGCATGAATTTTTGCGTAGCAAAAATTACGACACTATATGTTATCCCATAAGATAACATTGATATCTAAAGTGGATCCATGAAAATTTCTAATGACTAGACCTACTCTGACGGGTCGTCTAGCTAGATGGGCTGTCTTATTAATGCAATTTGACATAACTTATATGCCACAAAAGGCTGTTAAAGGACAGGCACTAGCAGATTTTCTGGCTGCCCATCCTTTACCTGTATGTTCCCCACTTAACGATGAGTTGCCAGATGAGCAAATACTCGAAGTGGAAGAAAAAACACACTTAGAAGAATGGGAGCTCTATTTTGATGGAGCTTCGTCAATAAGGCCAGCCCGACCACCTAAGCTTCCAACAGTTCAGGTGGGCATTGGTCTTATATTCGTAACCCCACAAGGCGGTATACTGCGATACTCATACAGCTTAATAGAACCTCGCACTAATAATGAAGCTGAATATGAAGCTCTAATAGCGGGTCTTGAGCTTGCAATTAATATGCAAATTGTGAAGCTCCGAATACATGGAGATTCTCAACTTATAATTAAGCAAATAGATGGTGCTTTTCAAATTCACAAGCCCGAGCTAATCCCATATCGTGAGTACGCCTTGAAACTCCTAGAACAAATACCTGAAGTAACCTTAATTAGGTGGTGAAAATGGTAAAGCTGATGCACTGGCAAAACTTGCTAAGGAGATGGCAAATTCCCAAGAGAATCCAATCCTTATAACTATCCAAAATAGACATGCATTGGCTCCGGCTTCCTTACAAGATAATGAAGGAAAAGAAACGCTCGAGAGCTTTCACATATCGGATGAGAGTGATTGGAGAGAACCATTCATCACGTATTTCAAAGAGGGTAGATTACCAGACGATAAATCTATCGCTTTACAAATATCCAAAAGGGCATTAAGATATGCTTACGTTAATAATACACTATATCGTAGATCATTTGACCAAATGTGGCTACGATGTCTAGGTCCTGATGAATCCCAGAAAGTCATAACCGAAGTCCATGAAGGATTGTGCGGTGCACATCAATCCGGACCTAAAATGAAGATCAAAATTAAGCGCATGGGAGATTATTGGCCTAACATGGTTAAATATTGTCTTGGCTATGCTAAGAAGTGCCATCAATGCCAGGTGCACACTGATGTTATACATCGACCACCTAACCCAATACATCCTACAGTAGCATCTTGGCCATTTGAAAGTTGGGGTACCCATATAATTGGTCCTATAGAACCACCGTCTTCTTTAGGACATCGGTTCATCCTTGCTGCTACAGATTACTTCTCAAAATGGGCTGAAGCAATTCCCCTACGAGAAGTGAAAACGGACAATGTAATGAAATTCTTCCGGGATAACATTGTCTATCGCTTTGGGGTGCCACATCCAATCATATCAGATAATGGTACCGCATTGAAAAGTGCCAAAATTTATCGATTTATTGAAAGCTATAAAATAGGCTGACGTTATTCTTCGATATATAACCCGAGAGCTAATGGTTTGGCCGAAGCATTTAAGAAAACTTTGGTGAAATTGCTCAAGAAAATTCTCTCTAAAAAGAAGAGGGAATGGCATGATAAATTAACTGAAGCCTTGTGGGCATATCGCACAACCTATAAGACTGCGATACAGGCTACCCCATATTCTCTAGTCTTCAGGACATAAGCGGTATTACCTCTCGAGGTGGAACTACCGTCACTTCGTGTTGCAGTACAATACGGACTAACCCAAGAAGAAAATGATCTTCTAAGATTATACCATCATTAATAAAATTAGAAACTTTAAATGAACTAGTAGTGTGAGTATTAAGCCGATTATCAATAGAAGAGATCCCTAACCAATTGTCTAGCCAAAAGAAAATGTCTCCCGGCCCCAAGCCCCATTGAATAAAATTCTCAGCATCCCATTTAATGGAACACAATCTCTTCCAATTAAAAGAAACCCATTTTTTAAAAGAACCCAATAGAGGGTACTTGCTAGCATAATACTTAGCAGTCATGAACTTAGCCCAAAGGTTTGTTTAGTCCTAAAATTAAACCAAAGTTTATAAGAAAAACAAAGAGCCATGTCACTTAAATTCTTAAGACCAAGCTTACCTTCATCTTGAAAACCAGAGCAATTATTCCAAGCAGTCCAATAAATAGCTGACTTCCCCTCCTTAGCTCCCTAAAAAAACTTTTTGAAAATTCTTTCAAGCCTACTACAAATATTCATAGTGGGATAAAGCGTATGAAATAAATAGATAGGAATAGAACACAAAACACTCATAATTAACACTTATCTACCACCAAAAGAATGAAAATTAAAGCCCAAGTATATAGTTTATTTCAATAGTAGAAAAATGTCTCCAAATAAATGTGATCTCTTCCAGCCCTTAAAAAGGGGAGTTTCTAAATACTTTAGGGGTAATTGTTTGTACATAAAGCCAAAATTTTTCTGAATAGAACTAATCCTTTGACTAAAAATAGACTTCATAAAGGTAAAGCAACTTTTAAGAGGATTAAACATTAAACCACTAGAAGTTTGAAATTGATGAAGAAATCTAAAAAATATTATTTAGCATTTTCTTGGAATCGTTAGTAAAAATAATAAAATCATCAGCAAAACTCAAATGCAAAATAAGTAAACCACATGAGGTCTGGTACTATAAAGTGGGATGTTTTCTGAAAAGACCATTAAGACCTCTAGATAGAAATTCCACCACCAAAATAAACAAAGCAGGGGATAAGGGATCTCCCTGCCTGAGACATTAGGTAGACTTAAAAAAACCATGGTTAATGCCATTAATAATAACGGAAAAGAAAGAATGCTCAATACAGTTCTTGATGATTTTGATAAAACCATTACTAAAACCAAAAACCTTAAGCAGGGTACAAAGAAATTCCCAATTGAGTTTATCATATGCTTTGGTAATATCAATTTTGAAGTTAGCATTGCCACAAGTAATTTTTGCTTCCAAGTCATGGACTAATTCTTGGGCCAATAAGACATTATAAAAAATAGAACGATCTTCAAGAAAACTAGTTTTTTTTCTGAAGAGATAATTTTAGGAAGAATTAAGTGCAATCTACTCATAATCAATTTAGCATTTAACTTGTTGAAAAAAGAGCAAATATTAATTGGCCGAAAATCACTACAAAAATTAGTGACATTACTTTTGGGAATAAGAAAAATTGAAGTGGAAGTAAAAAAACTTAAGGTAAGGATTGCCCTTGAAGAAATCAATGACAACGTTGATCAAATCCTCTTTAATAATATGTCAAGTTTTCTGAAAGAATTTAGTAATAAAACCATCCGGACCAGCAGCAGAATCACTATTCATATCTTTGATAATCACCCAAATTTCATCAGTAGAAGGAATTTTAGTAAGCCTAATATTATCCTTGTCAGAAATAATAGAAGGAATGAAAGAGAAGGCCACATCCAACATCAGATTAAATTCCTTGTTAAACACATTCTTAAAATAATAAATACCAAATTCATAAATTAAATAATCAGAATCAATATGAGACCCATCAGGCTTAATGATTTTGTGAATAAAACTAGCAACCTTATTATGATTGGCAATATTATGAAAAATTTAGTATTTCTATCTCCCTCCACAACAAATTTAGAAGCAACTTTTTGTCTCCAAAAAACTTCTTCTTGAAATTGAAGTTTAAATAAAACATTCTTGTAATCATTAAGTAAGGAAAGGTTTTGCACAATAGGATCAAGCATATAATTATTTTCATCCAAAGCAACTTAATTCTCAGCATGCATAATATTAGATAATAAGTTCTTAAACACAACTTTATTCCACAATTCAACTTCTATTTAAGCATTTTAAGTTTAAACCAAAATCTAGTCATACCAAAAATATTATCAGACGGAAATAAAGGTGCATGCCAATTGCTTTCAACAATATTAAGAAAAGATTCATGAAGAAGCCACATGTTTTGAAATCTAAAAGGAGATTTAATTCTATTTTGCTGCATAAAAATATTCACAGTAGAGGAGAATTGTTTGATAAGGTTCTAGATAAATGCTCAATGTGAGTGCTAGGAAAGTTAGAAATCCAACAGTTATTAAAAAGAATGTGATCTAAGTGCTACACATAGTAGCTCGATTCCATGTAAAATCAAGGACATTAAAACCAATATCATGCAGGTTAGCATTTAAGATCATATCATTAAAGTCTTCCACAGCTTGAAAAATGGGAGGGTTTCCACCCACCTTATTAGAAGCATTCGAGATAGAGTTAAAATCACCACCAATCATTCAAGATTCCGAAATACTATTAGAAAAATCAAAAAATTGAGACCATAAAATTCTTCTAGTAATGATAGAACAGGTTGCATAAACAAAGGAAGCAAAATAAGCCAAGGTAAAATGGATGACCGAGGGAGATACAAACCCAAAGTTTTTTCATTCCTATGCTTCGATAAGAAAAATGCAAACTCAATTTTTAAAATAAAAGATGTTGATGGTTCAAAAATTGAAGACTCTAGTCTAATCTCTGAAGTATTTCTAAATTTCTTCAATGGCAAATGGAAGGAAAGAAAGAGTTCTTTAACTAGTTGGCTGATTCCCAATTGTTCACTTGATGAAAATGATAGGGAATTGTTAACCTCATTTTTGTATGAGGTCACTTTCCACCCCTTCTTGAGCTTTAGACCTTAGGTTCCTTTGGACTTTAGATCTTAAGATTTTCCTAGTTCCTAGTCCTTAGTCCCAATCCAAATCTTAACTCAATTCAAACCCAGAATCTGGGGTTAAAGACTCAGCTCCTAAAACCCTTTCTAGGTGATTTTTCCATCACCTTGAAACCCAATCAATTGGCTTCTAATTCAGAGGCTGTCAATTCCATATCGATGTGACATGTCTCTAGTGCTAACCCTCCAAAAATTGAACTCAGTCAGAGTACTTTAACACCATAAACTTAATCCTGTTTCAAAGATTGCAAAACCTTCAAATATTTACAATCAATGCCGCTGGACCTTTCACCATGTGGAATTTGATCTTGGAGCCCCCTCCAAACCCTTTCATCACTCCCAAGACCTTAATATTGACTTGTTAAGCAATAATCCATATCTTTTAAATTTAATTTGACCCAGAATTAACTTGAGACTAAAATGCCCTTAAAGGGGGATTTTTGGACTTTTGGTCTAAACTCAACTTGATTTGACTTATCAACCTTTAAAATCTTCTCCAAATATTTTCAAATGATTTTTGAGACCTTTTGAACTTAATTCCAACTTTGGGTCAACTTGGTTGATCAAGTCAACCCATTTTAACCTAAAGGCCCCTTAAGGGTCAACATGGTCATTTTGACCCAAATGACCCCTCCACACCTTGATACCCCATCCATTAGGTTCATATGACCAAATTAATTTCAATGGACCTAACTCCTAGTCCTAGGTCAACTTGGTTGACCAAGTCAACCAAGTTTGACCAAATGACCCATATACCCCTCCTTTCATTTAAACCCTTTGACCAAAACCACTTCAACCCCATTTGAACCCATGGGGTGACTCCATAGGCTTTCAAGAGATCCCTCTTGGAGACCCACCCTTGGGTCCACTTGGGTTAGCCTTTTAGCTTGACCCAAGTTCCCAAAGAGTGTCCCCCTTTGAACCATTTCTCAATCTAATCAAATTGAACCCAAACGAAGGTGTCATTGGGTCTCCCCTGACCCAATACACATTCCTTAACCAGTCCAGCCATTAAGTCACATTGGGTCAAGAGCTAGGCTAACCCAAAGTAGTCAAAACCACTTGGGATTGAGCCAAATCCTGACCAACACCTCTATTAGGTGGCCCTAGGTCCAATACACCTCCCCCAGCTGGCACAAGCCTTGGGTTGACTTGGGTCTGAAAGTTCGTTAGGGATTTTAAGCCCTATAGAACTGGCCTAAGCTAACCAAAAGGGGGGGGGGTGAATTGGTATTTTAAAAATTTATTTCACAAAGAAGTAAAATCACATAAACCAAAATCACACCACAAGAAAAATAAGTGCATAAATTAAAGTGCGGAAGCAAGAAATAAGAACACAGAAATTTATAGTGGTTCGGTCAACTCGACCTACGTCCATCTCTCTCTTTCTTTCTCTCCTCAAGGTCTTCTCAGGTCAAGGCAGCAGCAAAAGATGTTAAAAAATGTTGAACAAGAGCTCTTAAATAGAAGAGCTTCAAAGGAGCTCATTAATTGCAAGTTGCCGACTATATCATCCAGGATGATATGGAAATCGTCCTGGCCGATCAGTACAAATCTCAAAAGATCGGTCAGAGCATCGCCCTGAATGCAAACTGGATGATTGAAAATTGGCTTGATCATCCAGGACGATCTCACGATCGTCTAGGCCGATCAGTTCAAATTAGAGGAAATTTGTCCAGAGCATCGCCCTAAATTCAAGCTGTCCGATCCCGATTGTCCAGCACATCGCCTTGAATTTGTGCTGGCCGATATTTATCGTCCATAAGTAAC